TAAACGTATGGCTTGTAGATAACATATTCCACAGTACTTTTGCTTGTACGCATACGAGAGAATTTAAGTTATCCTAAAAAGTTTCCCTCATAAACCGGTATAATGACGGTAGATAAAATTAGTTTTTTTTCTGCCCGCCAATATATTTTGTTAAAATGATTACGCTTCTATCAAGCCTATATGCAAAAAACTTTCATCACTCTCCATCGCTTCAGTTAATTAGAGGGATAGTGATAATTTAAAGTGTATACATACTGGGGTAGGAAAATGTCTATACCTCTTACAGTAATTGCACGAATCGATGCAAAGGTCATTGACAATGTAGTGAATGTCGACTTACTGCATGGTTGATGTTAACAGCTTATAAAGGCACACTCACACAGGTTGCAAAAGCCCTATATATTTTCATAAAAAATGCATTTTCAACATCGAATTGTATCATTGCTTTTAGTTAATAATTTGGAGGAAACTTTACGTGCTATCAAAAACAACATGGCAAGATATTTTAGTTCATGCTTTTAAAACGACGTTATGGCGTAATGTATATGTTTGTATCAAGGATTATCCGAAAAATGCAAGGTAGCATACTCTTGATTTCACTGATTTTCATCATCTTAGCCAGCTACCTACTTTGCGTATATAAAAATAAACTGGGAGCCTACTGCAAAGTAATCCACATTGCAATGTAATATAGATTATCTTTTTAAATAGAACATGTATTTTTAGAAGGTTCAGCAAAGCCTCACAAAGCCATTAACTGATTGCTCAAAGCCTGCCTGTAGCATGACTTAAATTTAAACTGTCAAATTGATTTATACGGCAAAAATACAAGATCCAGTACGAATTAAAAAAAAACACAATGTTATCCTCAGCACTAAATGTTTTTTGGAACGTATAACGATTGCCGTATTGTTGCAATTCCCTTCAACCGTTTGTCGACAAGATATTTGTGATGTTCGATAAATCAGTTAATAAAAATACGCCCAGGTAAAGTGAATGCCAATAAGTGCGAACCTTTCCGTAACAAAAGATTGGCAGCAGGTTTGAAAACTCTGCCTTGCATGCGGCTCTCGAAATCAGTATTAAACATTGAGGAAGACTGCAAACGCATTACTCTACTCATATTTAAGCTATAAGCTTTTTCAAGACCATTCACAGTTATTTTTGCTGTGTAATTATTGATATATGCTCCATTTTCCTAACACATGACCGCTCGGTTTTCGTTTGCGATTCCATAAATATTCTTTCTTTCCAAGCCATCTTATAAGCGTCATCATATGTTTCCGTTAATCAAACTAATCGGAATTTCATGTTTGAGTTGAAATTGTTAGACTGTACGCAAGTGCTCCATGAGGGCAAATCAGTAAATACCGAATATCATTAATTTTCGGACTCACATTTCTCCTTCATGTGTATCACTTAATTCTCTTCGAAGCACTGCGGACAGAATATGCATGTCTTCCCGAACCGGGACTTACCCTCCCCGCTGGGGAGTTCTGCTACTTTGCCGGCTGGGGACTGATCCCCAATCCACCCTATGCACCGCTCCCAGTTCCTCCTGAGACGCTGATGGAACTACGGATTCCAACTATATCGGCGGATCAGTGCAAAACAAGAAATCTATTTATGAACGAACACCAGGATGTTTGTACGCAAGGCGCATATGGAGTGAGCATCAACCTTGCACTTTCTGCCTTATAAAGACCCGAAACATTCAAAGCATTCATGTTTTTTTCGTTTTATTTTTCTCAGATGGCTTGTGACGGTGACAGCGGAGGGGGACTACACTGTTTAACAGGAGATGGACCCAAATGGGTTGTATACGGTGTGGCCTTTCACAGTAACCCTCTCTGCTATGGGGGCTTCAACGTATTCACCTTAACAGCACCGAAAGTTGACTGGATGAAGCGAGTCATGAATGCGAATGCCTAGCGAAATCGGATCATTTCGCACGCCAAGCTAGGTGTGCGAAGACCGCTGCGAGAGTGACCTTTAGTGCTAACTGCCGATTAGTAAAGTAATGAGTTGTATTCAATTTTATCTAAATAATTTTTTTACAAAAAAATACGAATTCGCGCTCATTCTAAATCAACCCGGATAAACTCCTAGATGAGTTAAATATAGCCGTTGGCAAATAAAATCGACTGTCAAAATTCATATTCTGGTAAGTTGAAGCGGCTGAGATGGTTGAAAATAGGCGGGGCAACACGTCGGCAGTAATGTGTATTAAATCCACGTTTTGTTGACACGCAAAGTCGTGTAGGACTGCGTCTTACCAGGTCGGTCGGGTCAAGGGGTCATTACTATAGTTTAGGCACTGTAGCATTTCCTGATGCGGATTTAAATAAATAAGGCAAACTAATTGCATGCTTTCTTCATAAGGGTTCCTTTAATAACGCACTTTGTGCACTGGTTAACATAAATACAAAGTTAGCAATCACAGCTGTGCGCAAGCAATTATACAAATGCATGAATAAGAATTGAGTTACACCTAGTACGTCAGATACGATTTTCAAGGGGCATTTTTGATATGATCCCAGGACTAATAGGTAGAAGGAGGTAAATCCAGTCCTGATCTTAATATTATTTGAAGCAAGAAAGATTAGCAGAATTTATTCGCGCGAATAAATTACAAGAACGCTTTTCAGCTGCTTCCGCTCAGTCCATGAACAAAGAAATAATAAGAGAACACATCAATTTGAATTTACACAAAATAGATC